AAGGGAATGCTTTCATGCTGACAGCTGCGTGAAATGCAGGGCCAGGCTGGTTCTCAAACCAGGCCCACTGCCTAGGAGTCCACTCCCGCTTAAAGGCCCTCCTTAGAGTTTCTGTGGCTGTAAATCTTTATGGACACAGGTAGCCTCCTTTTCTCCAACCAAGTGGGTGGTGGTTTTGAACTGCTGAGCTTGAGGTTAGCATGCCAGTGCTTACCGGATAGCACCACTGGGGGCTCTTTAAGGATATTTTTTTTTCTTGTAAATTAGGTGAGGGGTTACACGCCAGGTCGTCAACGTTGTATTCAACAGTTTAGAAGGTGAGGATTTGTGGGTATAACACCAAATAGAAATTATGCAAATTGTCAACTTCAGTTTACTCTAGCTTCAACGTGAATGAAAATGAAATATAGAGACTCTAAGGCAGAGTTTAAGTTACTGTTTGAAAGGGCCAACCTTACATGTTCTCCTTCAAGGTCCTATATAGAAATATAGATCATTGTTTTTGCCTTCAGTGACATTGAATTGGTGCAGTGTTACTTATGACATGTAGACTGTGCACTTTCAGGTATGGTCACTTTCATGGCTGTCATGTTTTACTGTTTGTTCTCTTTATGTGTGTGAATAAGTGTCTCCCGTATCCACTTCACTGCTGTAGATACTCTAGACTAGAAATGTCTGTAGGGGTGGAGGAGAGAGACCAATAGAAGCAGACCAAAGAGCATTTAAAGAGAGCCTGGTAAGAGTCTCCGTCTTCTCGTCTGGCCGGCAGCCTCGGATGCCCATTTCCAGGGCCCTTACTCCTAGTTCCACCAATGTATCCTGATACGGTTCCTAAAATGAATTTCTGACAAGGGACACAGGCTCCAAACCAGCAGTTCACCATCAATCCTCACCTGCTCTAATCACCGACCACTTAAGCATCCCATTTCATGAATGACTCCATCTCTCTCCCCCCAGGTCTCATTTCTCAGGCTCAGTTTTAGCCTAAGAGTTGCATTCATTTTCACAGGAGACCATGTTGAATTCAACGGGGGTGAGGAACGGTCAAATGCAAGGAGACCGTTGGCACTAGCCCCATCCCCATTCCCTTTAAGCCAAGAGTGCTTCCGCAGAGCCAGTAACAGAACATGCAAAGCCGAGTGTGTGTGTGCAGCAGCGAGAGGCTAAACAAAAGGTGGGGAGGCGGGAGGACACTGCCCGAGCTGGGCGGAGGCTCAGCCACACGGAGGACCGGAGGAGTCACAGCCTGAGCGTAGCTGCGGGGGTGTGGCAGAGATGGTCAAAGCGCGCTTGTGAACAGTGCACGGGACAGATCATTCACATCTGGGACGTTTCTATGACCAGTTCAGTCAAGACGGTGGGACAGAGTAAACAATGAGCAAAAGAGGCCGTCTGGGTTTTTATTGGATTCTGAACTTACATGAAGCAAGCAGGAAAGCCCCGAAGAACGAAAACAAATGGGTCTGGAATGAAATTTGTTTTAGCTAGCCGCTATTTCCTCAACGTGCTGGGCAACAGGGCGCGGGCCATGGTGTGTCGTCAAGCTTTTGTAGAGAGTGGTACAAGGCACCGCCGTTTCTCATTAAGAGAGCTGATGATGAAAATGAGGGCCCCTTCCAGGTTCCTCCTCTAGCAGCTGATGCTATTCTAGGCTGTGCTGAATGTTAAAAATATCAACCAAATTCTAGTAGTCACCAAGGAGGAAGTGTTATGTGAGAAGCTTCCAAAACACGGAGCTGTTGCATCTCAATGAATTCAGGGAGTCGTACGCAAGCTGTTCATTCAAGGTCGGCATGTATGCTGAACTTAAGAAAAATGCCAGCCCCAGTTATGCTTGATCACGAATAAATCTCCTGCCTTGTAATGAAGCAAGCACAGTGCGGGGATGGAAAAGGATATTAACTTTGACGGTAGGAGAGATGGGGTAGAGATCAGGAGACAGTGTGGTAGGGTGAAAAGTGCCTTCTAAATTTGGCTTGAAATTCATTTTTTAAAGCAATGAATATATGAGTTGTTGTTTAGATTTGATTATGTTCCTAAAGATGCTTGAGATGTGCTTCCATGGGGTATATTGTTGCTATGGAGATGAGAGAGTCAAGTTTGGGACCCAATTTGAGACAGAATATAGAAGAGGAGAAATACAGTGTTTAAGGGTAATTGAGTCTGTTGGCATCACTCTGACAGAGAAATATCTGAATCGGAAATGGTCCATGGGCAGGCATGGCGACTCTCAGAGGTACATTTTACAGTAAGGAAATATAGTCTCCTCTTTAGAGTTGACCACCAGAAGCTGAAGCTCTGCTCAGAGGACAGAGTTTAACTGCATTTGAACTGTGGTGCTGATGAAGAAGATTAAACCTGCAGTAGACTGCCCAAACAACAACCCGATCTCTCGTAGAGGAAACCAGAATGTTCTTCTGAAGCACCAATGGCGAGACCCCACTTACTGCCTTTGGACACACCAGCAGGAAAGACCAGTCACAAGGTCGCCAAGAACATTCTGCTTGGTAAAACAAGATGAAGGAAGACCTCGGAGAAACCGATTGGTGTCACAGATGCAAAAATAAATTCACACATCCCATGGCCATGAAGAGGACAAAGGACCGGGCTTCCTTCAGCTCTGCTAGACACAAGGGGACCATGAGCTAGAGCTGAGGTGAGGGCAGCTGCCCACCCTGACCTTTCACCCACCCTTAAGAAGGAGTGGCTCTGTGGAGCACAGAGTTCAAGAAGGACGAGGCAGAGCAGCCAAGAGCCCACAGGTCAGCAGGAATCGATGGCACCCTAGGGCTACGGTGACTTTGATGTGTCTGCAGCGCAAGGCAGGTGTTCAGGTAGAGTTGGATTTATGTGCTAGTGCACAACACCAGAGAATGATTTCCACGGAACAGCCTTTCTCCTCTCTGTCATTCTGTGAACCAAATAAATAAAGATGCTTTCAGTGCTTACCATCTACAAGGAAAACTATATTTCTAGCCTAAGTCAGGTGAACAACTAAAAAATGGGTGAGAGCATCCCCGTCAAATGACGAGTAAGAAGGATTTATTTCAAGTGTGTCATGATGGTAGCCTTTGCAATACAAACATTTGCCATCCGAATAAGGATACGGGGCTGAACTGTGGACCAGATTGCTTGCACATTAGAGAGCATGTAAATCAAGGAGCTGCTGAGTTGAAATCATGAGCTCCCAAGAAGTGTGAAGATATGTGCTGAAGCCACAAAGGATTCTGGGTTATGTTTTCCCCCTTCAGTTTCTTTGCCTCTTAACACAGAGAAGGAACATGCTGTGCGTTGGGCTGTTTAAACACAGAACAGCTGAACTTTATTATGTTTCCTTTTAATTACAGCTTTCTTCACTGGGTTACAAGTAAGGCTTCTGTGTCTGGAAGCTGAGAAGTCTCGCTCACCTAACCTCATAAGCAGTGGGCTCTGTGGGGGCACAGGCACATGCTAGAAGATTGTCGGTGTAGGAGTCCAGGCTTGGTGTCAAGATCTTGCTCACCATCCTGTTCTTGTGAGTTCTGATCATCAAAGGAGGAGAAGAAACACAGCTAAAGCAAGACTCTGGTAGATTGGGAAATATGGAAATAAGACAATACTCTCAGGGGGGAAAGCATGCTGAAACCGTGCTTCTGCTTCCTTAACGAGAGTTCATTAGTTGTAGCTGCAAATGCTAAACCTGTAGTCTCGGTACCTGTGAGTGTCTGGATAGGTATCTGAATATACGAGGCCTAAAATGGAATCCAATCTTGTACTCTGCTTGGATGATTCTTAAGGGCATTTACCAAGGCATGTCCTATAATAAATCTGAGACCTCATTTCAGTTCCATGCTGAAATTATATGCCTCGTGTCTATTCTTAGCACTCAACTATAGGCTAAGCTTCTTAAGCTACTGATTATTCCTTCTGTTTCCTCTTTGTTAGCTTGGCCAAGGAAGATGCTTAGTTAAGGAGGAAGGGAGGAGAAGATAAAAGTTTCAATGGCTAAGGATAGGTATGCAAGAACTCTTGAAAGCGAGAACAAAACATCTGAATATGATAAAAAACAACAATAGATACTTAGAGAAGGGGAAAAGTGTTGTCAACAGAATGGAAAAAGATGACTCTGCTGGATTAGAAAGTCTTCTCAATAGGGAGCTTGGGGGAAGGGGGACCAGATCTATACTGAAAGAAACCAGCCTCTGGGGCAAAGACTGATTTCTTCTGAGACGCGGTTGGTTGGATGTGGAAATGGTAAGGAAAATCCTGTTTAGCTTGGGTATCCAGCCAGGAAGTTGAATATGTAAGAGAAGCTCGGTAAGAATTCACCAGCTTGACAGTGAAATCTCTGTGGTGGAAGCACCCAGACCAGAGGGTCCTGCCTATAGGTCTTCAGTTAGAGAAATGCTCAATGAATTTTCTTAACCATGTTCTATAGGATGGGTGCACTTAGAAAAACAGCCACAGAGAAGCATGAAAGCAGATGCCATGCTCTTGGTAATAGCTTCTGGATTTATATTTGGAGCAGCTTAAAAAGACTCCTTCCCAAGAGAGCCCCATGTCTTCTTGATGTTCCCATTCTGTCAAAGGCACTGTGCTTGTTATGGCTGAGAATGTAGTGGAAGGCCACCTCGACTCTGGATAGGTTTTGGGAGGCATCAGTTGTGCTAACACATGGACTGCCTGTGGCCTCTCCATCAGTATCATTTATTCCACTCCCCCTGGGGGAGAGCAACAGAAGCATTGGCAGGGGTGGAGAGGGGTCGGGGAAGGAAAGAGGAGATGTGAGCCTTGGCTTTAGCAGTTAAGATTGGAGACAAGAGAGACAGAAATGAAAATGTGTAATAGCACCAATGACGCTGTCACAAAGAGAAGCAAGTGAGGGTCCATGCAGCACTGGAAGGCATGCTTGCTTACACACATTCATACAGACCCATGCAGGGGTGCTGAAGAACTACAAAATCAACACAGGTACCGGGGCTCAGGAGGCTGGTAGACTGTCACAGCAATGAGAGCTTGTAGGGTTGTTTTTTTTAAGTGGAATCCAGTGAGGCTATTCTGAGGTGGAAGTGGTGGTGGATGAGATGGGCTACCGATCAGGAGGTTGCATGCGTGGTACCGGGGACAGAAACAGGCAGTAGAGGTGCTTATGAAATGGAGTGTCACAGGAGATGGAAATAAACCAGTGGCTGAGGAGAGAGAACAACTTCTCCCACAGCTCACAGACAGCACAACAGTTCTTGATGCCTTTTGGGTGGGTACTACACTCTTGTTTGGGCTATTTAAAAGAAATCAATATTGCATATGTCCGCTGGAGGACACAAGTTTAAATGGAAATGCATCTTCCATGACTCAAATTGCAAATGGTGGTGTAGGAATGGCCACAGTCAACCAGATTATGAATGTGTGAGTCTGTTGTCTCCCCAAGAAAGAAGAAGCTGTAGCAGAAAAGACCTTAACCAACTGGAAGTTACTGGGAAGATAATGAACTGGAGCTATCGCTCACAGATCCAAAGAGCTTCAAGTTCATAAATGTTACATGAGGATGAAGAAGGACTTGGGAGCTCAGGGTCAGGCTGACCTTGCATAGGAATGGTATGGTTAATGCCAATGAAAGACGTTCCATTGCCACTCCGGAAACGTGGTAAATAAGTTTGTTTGCCACTCAAGTGTGTGGTAAACAAGCCTTTTCATTTGGGAGTTCGGGGAACCCTTTCCTTTACCAAGCAGGGATTTGAACTAGTCTCTCCTGGTCCAGCTCTCTTGCTGAGAATTTGCATATCCCTCTGTGTCCCCTGCCCCCCAGGGAGCCCTGGTTGCACAGTGGTATGCATTCGGTTGCTAACTGCAAGGCTGGAAGTTCAAAACCACCAGAGTTGTTATGAGTTGGAATTAACTTGATGGCAGTGGGTTTAGTGTTTTTTTTTGTGGCCCCTCAGATTCCCAAAGTCAGAGTGAACAGTGTAACACGATCCCCAGGTGATGCTTAGGTACACATAGGAAACCACCTGGGGACTAATGAGAACCACCTGGGGAATCCTTTTGAACTATAGATTCAGACTCAGCCTATCAGGGATGGGAAGGCAAATTCTCAGCAGGGGAGTTGAGCCAGAATGAACCGGGTTTGAAGACCGGCTACTGAGGTTGGACTGAGGGCCAGGGGCCGTTCTGTTTGTGAGCCTCCTGAAAGCAGAAGTGAATGTCCCGAATGTGTTCTCCAGACTCTGCGGGGGCCTGGAGGAGAGGCAGGTTCCTGCCCCTCCCCGCCAGCCAGCGAGTGATGCGTGGAAGGAAATGAGTCCTGCAGACTCGCTCTCTCCTGGAAGGCCTGCCTCCCGTGGAGACCCATGGGAAGTCAGCTCAGCTCAGTCCTGTGTCACCTCCGGGTGGGCTGGTACCCAGGCTCCTCCCCATCGTTCCTCTTTGCAATAGCCTCTGCACTGTCTCGTCCCCACCGCCTCTGCCTGCAGGTTGGTGGAGGGCAGCCTGCCGTCTCGCACCTTCCTTTTCCAGCCCGGTACGTTGCTTGCTTGCTCTCCAGGAATCTGAATGTCGATCCCCGAGCTCTACCCTGCACAGCACACTGACATCTGCTTTCTCTATCTGCTCTCCTGGGAAGCTCACGGGCAATCGCGCTGGGTTCCCTTTCCTGCCCTTCCTTCGTGGCCCGCAGCCAGGGGAGTCTCACGGGGAGGCTTTCTGGGAGAGAGGAATGGCATGATCTTGCACCACGGGGGAGGGGCTGAGATGCGTTCGCCTCGATTTTCAACTGGAAAAGGCCCATAGAAGCAAACCAACCCACAAAAGGATAAAAATAAGACAACCGAAAGCCCCAGACCTCAAAAGCAAAAGAAACAAAACATACCCCCCTCCTGAAAAAACAAACAAACCCAAAACCCTCCCAACCCCATCAACCCTCCAACAAAGGAGTCACGGGATATGAGTAATGCAGTCTCCGTGAGAGGCATGTACGAATCTGTGGGCTGAGCTTCAGCCTGTCACAGGCGGTTATCAAAGATGGAATTTAATTTGCTTAAAAAAACACAAACAACCCAACCCATACGCAAAAGAAAACAACAACAAAAAAAATCAACCCCACCCGTAAAAGGCAGATTGGAGAGCTGTATTTTAGCAAATGTGTTTGCACTCAGGGTACCTTCTGTTGAGCAGTTCTGCCCACAAGCTGTCTGTAGAATATAGAACATCTCTCGAGCATGCTTGCCACCTTGAAGCAGGGCAGTCGGGAGCAGAAAAAAACAAAGAAAAAGAAAAGAAAAGAAAAAAAGAACAGAATGCAGAAAAAGGTGAAGAAAAGGAGAGAAATGAAAGATAGCAAGTCTAGTACCATCAATACATTTAGAAATGAGATTAGCCAAGTGTGACAATAGGATTTAAATGACACACAGAAAGACATTAAGATTACAGTAAATAACAACGTACTATGGGAAATCCAGCCAGAGAGCACTTTCTGTTCAGCTTAGCTGCAGAGTCAGAACGAAAGCACAGGTTGATTATCATTTTACTGGCTCTTTTGCATTCCAGCCCCATCCATCTTTTAGTCTTAGCGCTCGTTACTTTTCTAGCTAGTTGCTCCAAACAGCTGAGTATGACATTGCGCAATACTGCTCCGGAGGGCTCGAACTTACCCACGATGTCAAACCACAGAGGGGTGTTAGCTGGCTGTACAGATACCACCCCTACAATCTCAGTTACTCTATCGCTTTCCATGACGGTGAAGTTATAAAACGGCTCGTCGAAGGTCAACGGGGTGGGTGAAGGGGGTGGCTTCTTAATCCACTCAATGTGCAGGCGGGCAGTGGAGGATTTCTGTGGGCGCCCATTGTCCACCGCCTTTATCTGCTCACACACAGAGAGAAGACAGAAGAACATCTTTATGGCGTTGAGCTGTGGTCCCTGGTGAAGTGTGGGTCAGTCAGTGCATAAGGTGCCAGGACAAGGACCCCTCCTCATCAATGTTTCACAAACGGGGAGAAATGAGTGGAGGTTTGAGGGGAGTGCAGCCCATGCATGAGGAAGAAGCACCTTAGCCAAGGAGGGTTCCCACAACAGGTTCAACAGGAGACCCGAACTTCAGCCAACTTTACAGATATGGAAGACGGAGACAAGAAGACGTGTGATTTGCAGTGTTTTAGGGACACGAATGGCAGTTGTATGAGCAGGAATGGCTACTACTATTCTTCATACCACGGAGTCCAACTTTCCTGCTGGTGGTGATGGTGGGAAAGGGGACAAAGTGAATGTCAATCGCTATGTAAGTAATATGTGGGATATGTGTAAAGGTGTGTGCAAGTGTTTTCCAGCTCCTTCCTCTGCTTCATTCTGGAAGAGCACTCCACTGGTACACAGTCCCAGAGGGTGATGGGATAGGTGGGGGAAAGGCAGCAGCCTAGCTCTAAGGATTCTAATGGGCCAACTTGTAAGGAGAGTAAGAGCACTCTCTCAGTGGAATCATGAGCTTGTGGAGGCAGCAGGGAGTGGGGGAGATGGCAGGCTGATTCTAATGCCTCTTATCTGTGGTCATAAGCGGGCTGATAAAAGAATAAGGAGAGTTGAGGGGCATCTGCACAGGGCATCAAAAGCGTTCACTATGGCTCATCCTGCCCTCAAAGTTCCCAAACCACACCCACTGTCTGCAATAACTTGTAGTCCAACAGAACCCCTTGTGATAGAAGCAGAACAGGTTTAGTATTATTATTTTCCTCATTTCCTCTGCTCCCTCTTCTGGATATGTTACTTGGCAGGGACAGAAAGGTGGGAAGGGGACTTCAAAGAGTCATCCCATTCCTTAAAATAATGAAGACTTGACTGTGTACAACAGAGACCTCTGAGGGCAAACCGGAGGACAGTGGATGCCACGAGTTGTTGGGGCTCCGTGGGGATGGCCACGCATCTCGCTGTCATGGGCACTCTGCACGACCAGAGTGGTTGATGAGAAGTGGCGGGAGCAAGCTAGTACCTTCTACAAGGAACTGAGCGTCTCTATTTGAGATGGTGCTCCTGAATGTTTGCATTTTGAATTTGCTAACAGTAAAAATTTCACCCCCTGTGGATTTGAGTCTTGTTTTTTCATCTTTTCGGGAATCACACCTAGCTTGTAATCTGTGTCACACAATCTATTCTGCTAAATTCATGTTCTATCTCCCTGTCAACTGTGACAGAAGTTATTTTCTTTGCGGACCTGTGGCGCAATCTGTGTGGCGGGTTGGGCACGTTTCATGGCTGTTCCCTTACCTTCTATTTACACACATGCTCAGTACTTTGAATATGCCTGAGGGTCACCGAAGGGGCGTCTGAGTGTGTGATGGAGCGCCTGGGGACTGGCAGTAGAGAAGGCTTGCTGATAGCACCCCCCCAAAGAAAACAACTTCACTACTGATGCGATCTCATCACGGTTGTCAGAGATCTCACCTCATCAAGGTAGTCAGTCAGAGATCTCCCCTGTCCTCGCCTCCCAGACATTTATTTACTTTGTAGGTGTGCTTTCTTATTCCATCGTTTGATTCTCTAGAGAAACATTCATTGGAAAGAGAGTAACCACGACCCCAGGATTGTGTCTGAGGTTCCAAAGTTCTTACCGTCAGGATGTCATAACTCCCTGCGGAAAATTGCTTCCTGGAGGAAACCAAGCCGGTTTTGGGGTCAATAAAGAACTTCCCATCATCATTCCCATCCACGATGCTGTAGGAGATTTCCGCATTGGGACCCTCATCTCTGTCAAATGCAAATGCCCTATAAATGGGTTCTCCTCTCTTCTTCCGGTCACGCTCCGGCAGCTTGATCTGATAGACCTTCTCTGGGAACTGAGGCTTGTTGTCATTTTCATCAAGAACCTGAACCACCACCCAAATTGTCGACTGTTTCGGGGAAGAGCCACCATCTGTCACCGTCACCTGGGTTTGGAAAGAGAAAGCATTATGTAATTAGGATCGCTTCTCAGCCTTTTGGCTAAGATCAAGTGTAGCGTTATGTAATTGGAGAGGGGGGCAGGGAAATAACTCTTTTCGCCACTTCTCCCCCTCCCCATCTCACTCTCATGAAAGGTCTATTCTGTGCACTGGTGCTCCACTCCTATAGGTTTTATCTAATGCAGAACTTTTCATAGTTCATTGCCCTCCTAGGCGACACCCCCAAGCCTAGGGATGAAAATCACTGCTGAAAGAAGAGGAGTGAAGAAGGGTTGACTGTGGGGTGGAGTGGAGAGGAAGGATATATAGGACTGACTGTACACAACACATCAACAAACCCCACAGAACCATGGTAAGTTAACTTATGGGCATTTCTTCCAATTCTTAGATAACTCCATGCAAACTCTTCCAATACTCCTTTTCTTTCCCTCCTTCATGTACAATTTGTGATAGTTTGCATTCTCACTGAACAACAAGAAAGCTGTAATGTATGCTTCACAATTTAGATAGCTGGTTGTAAGTACATTTGACAGTTAAAGCATGTTCTTAACCATCACAAAACATTGTGGGTTTTTTTTCCCCCTGCCAGGAAACTGGGAGGGGGCTGGGTGCTCCTTCTTATGTCTCCGAGATGCTAATGTTATGTGTGCCCATGAATATGGAGAGAGAGGAGAGAAAAGAAGAGCATGTGTACAAAGAATTTGCCTGGCAGATAGAAAGAGTCTTTGAAACTGGGTGTGAATCATTTCTAGGGGGTCATCACGAGGATAAGCAGAATAACAGCATACAAGATGGGAACGACGTGATGATTTAGAAGGCATTTTGCCCTCCACAATCTTATGTATGTCCTCCAACAGCCTCATCAATAAGTAGACCAAGTTAATTTCCATTTCACATGTGTGAAAACAGAGGCTCAGCAGTTACCTAGTAAATGCTAGAGCTAGATATTGAATTTTTGGTAATTCTTAATTTCCTGTTTATGCACAGTCCTTGGAAGAAATTTAGTCTTTAAATCATTGCCTTGCATAAGGCAGGGGTATCACTCTGGAATACATATGTGGAAGCTGGAAGGAAGAGAAAGATGTACTATGTATCAATAAGAGAAATACAGCCCTCCACAAGAATGAAGAAAATCAAGACCAGGGGAGGGGAGCACCTGCAAGTCAGAGGAGGCACTTATATATCTGTTGGTGGGAATGGTGGGTAAATGGGGAGGGGATACCTCACATCGGGAAGGGATGCTAACCAATAATTGTAGGAAAACTAAGGGGAGAATAAAAGCAGTTCTATGTTCTTGTGTAGACCCTTTGGCTATGTTTCTACCCACCCTCGGTGAACCACGCCATGGACTAAGCACTAGGATGATCTAAGACACTGGCCTTACAGGGAATCTGGTTGACTAATGGTTACCATGGTGAAAGAGGAAGAGTTTTTGCTTAGAGGGTATTGAATTTATGTTAATGGTGGTGGAATAATTCGGAAAAGGATATCAATAATGGTTGTACAACATGAAAGGCATGATCAATAGCACTGAATTATACATGTAGAAGTTGTTGAATTGGAGAATGTTTTGTTGTGTGTATGTTTTTACACAATTTTAAAAAGGTACACGAATAACAATGCGTGCAGGGAAAAAGAATGTTCTAAACTTGATTGTGGCAAGGATTGTGCAATTGTTCTCAATATGACTGAACGATTGAATTGTATGGCATGTGAAAGAGGGCCAATAAAACTCTTGAGAGAGAGAGAGAAATACAGTGGTGGGTTATAGTACCTGGCCACACAGTTATTCTCCCAATAAAACAACTTGACAAGAATTACTGGGGGGGGAACGCTGGGGGGGCACAAATTAAAGGCTTTCTGCAAAACTGGAACTGCAATCTAGTTTAGTTCTTCTTCCAAGTTGCCTAGGAGGGTGGTTTAATAGACTTAAGATACATTTTCATCGGAGTTCTTGCTTTCTTTGAAAAATCAATCAAGTTCGCTTTCAAGGTTATTTTCCCAATTGGTTCATTATGTTTCACAAAAGAATCACCTCAAGGACAAATATGTACCCAGGCTGAGAAGGACTCAAGCCAATTCCTGGACAGGTGGAGTTTTGGAGAGGCAAGTTCTGATGCTCCTGCTCAACCACCATGCTATACTCCCAGGTGAGCTGGTTCAACCAAAGCATATTTACTTATTGGCTGCTTGACTACAGTTGCCTCTCTCTCCTGCTTCAATAGCCCCTTTCAAAATCTAGGCAACCATAATGTCTTCATGGAGCACAAAATCCCTTCCTCTTGCTTGTGAAAGAAGACCCTGCCCTAGGCCATCTGAGGTGACTTTCTGGGTGCTCCTTCGGCGCTCCACGGCTGCCAAGGATGGAGAAGTCCTTGAGGCTGTAGTTCATCCTAACGTGGAAGGTCTTGGGACTATGACATTGTGCTCTGTCTTCAGGCAGGGAAGGAGGCAGTTGCAGAGACTCAAGAAAAGGCTCATCGATTGCCTCCGCCACCACCTCTCAGGCCTGACCACGCAGGCATTCTTTAAGTTCTTCAACACCATTATCACCAGCTGCCATAGAGCTGTCCTCCACTTGTGATGACACCATGTGTGTCAGAATACAACTGTGCCCTGCAGGACTCTCGATGGCTGTTGGTCACCAAGATTTTCTTCTGAGGTGCTTCTCCAACCTTTTGGTCAGCAGCCGAGCACATTCATCAGTTGCTTGTACCACCCAGGTATGCCTTCTCAGCACGTCATACTCTTTTCCACGTCCCAGCTTTTGCACACAAGTCCTCGCTCTCTGGGGATGAGTACTGTCCTTATCCCTTCTCTCTACTCATACTATTTATCCTTACGGTTCAACAGCGGAACTATCACTTCCTTAGGAATGTCTTTTCAGACCCCATAGAACAAATGCCACCTCCCACATGCCCCCTTTACCAAATTAGTCACTCTTAAATCACCCAAGAAGGAGCAATGGTGATCCCCTGGCTGCTAACCACAAGGTTGGTGGTTCAAATCTACCAAATACTCCGTGGGAGATGTGTGAGATGCCTTGATTCTGTAAAGGTTGGAAAACCCTATAGAGAGCCACTGGTGGCATGGTGATTATGTGCTGGGCTGCTAGCCACAAGGCCAGTAGTTCGAAACTACCAGGTGCTCCACAGGAGAAAGATGAAGCTTTCTACTCCTGTAAAAAGAGTCTCAGAAAATCGCCAGGTGCTATTGCCTTTTGTCTTACAGGGTTGCTATGAGTCGGATGGACTCAATGGCAGTGGGAATGAGATAGACGAGTAGGCGCGGGATTTGGTTTTGGTTTTCATTAAAGCAGCCTACAAAGAGCCCTGGTGGCACGATGGATAAGCTAAGGTTGTCATTTCAGAGCCACCAAAGGCTCTGTGAGAGAAAGAAGGGCTCCTGGCAAATGGCTCCTGTGAAGATCACAGCCAAGAAAACCTTTGGGAGACCTTCTCCTCGGTCACACGGCGGAGCTAAGGGCTGAAAATGCTTCTGTGGCATCACAGATGAGGTTGAATGAAATGGAAAAAAATCATTTATTCCAAACTCTTTCCTGTGATCATGAATGAGAAGAATGGTCAGGCATGGAGGCACAGAGAGACTGAGAGCAAACACACAGTCTCTCAGGTCCCTTTTGCTCTGACTCTGTGAGTGGGAGTGACCTAGAGGGAGACAGAGTGCAAATCCTGCTCTGGGGACTTGTAGGGGACAGTGGTTGTTCAGTAGTAGAGTCCTGTCCTCCCATGTGTGAGATTGATTCTTGCCCAAGGTACCTCAAGTGGAGTCAGGGGACCTTTGAATGCTGAATAGATTCCAGAGGAGACTAAAATGGACAATGAACAAAGGCCTGGTCATCTATTTCTGTAAATCTATGAATGAAAAGCCCATGGATCACAAAAGGTCTGCATAAGGCTACTATGTGTTAGAGGGCAGCTCAGTGGTAGAGAACCACTCGGGGTTCAAAATCAACTTCCTGCACTAAGAACACCTCCAGTCCCACTGTCTCTTAGGATGGTCAGCCTCATCCAAACGGTGATGGCATCCGTGGGCATTTATTCATGTTACTTTGATCTAATTAAAGATTTGGCTTCTGTAGCAGACTGTGTTTCTCAAAGGCTGGAATACAATTCTCATCATATTTTTCCTGAAGCCTAATGTACCCTCAAGAGCCCTGGTGGTGAAATGGTCATGAGATGGGTTGCTAACTGCAAGGTCGGCAGTTTGAAACCACCGGCCTCTCGATGGGAGAAAGACAGGCCTTTCAAGTCCTTTCAAGAGCTGCAGTCTCAGAAACCCACAGAGGCAGTGCTGCCCTGTCCTATAGGGTCTCTGGGAGTTGGAATCGATTTGATGGCAGTGAATGAATGCACCTTGAATGGAAGTGTGCTGAATTGAACTTCCTAGCTCACCTCAATGGCTTGGTTTCCATTATGATTGCTCTAGACCGACTCATCTTCTTGGTCATGTTTTATGCCTGGCATAGTCCAGCAGATCTGCAGAGCTCATATTTCATGCTGCGAGGCCTCACTTCACCCACCAACAAGGGGACTAGCCCAGGTGGAAGGTGTAGCAGAACTAGAGAACAAAGCACAATGGAAAAATCCCCATCGTTTTTCATTAATGGTGCAAGGAATTAGTCATTGTTTAGAAACTACCCATGCATTTGTTTGCTCACGTTGCACATTCTGACAAGAGAATAGCAAGCCATTCTAACCTAGATTTCCTGCTCTTATCACCGATCAATAACCAATGCTCTGGCAATTAATCAAAGGCCCGAAGGAACAGCAAGCACCTGAGAAAAGGAACCACACATATTTCAATGCCATAAAAGGAACAATACAAGTGAAGCCCATTTTATTTTTATAGGATACCCTGTGGTTTGTGGAAGGAGCCTCAGCAGCGTGATGGTCATGTTGGGCTGCTAACCGCAAGTCTGGCAGTTCGAAACCACCAGCTGCTCCAAGGGAGAAAGATGAGGT